ATACACACACACACACACACACACACACACACACATAAACACATGCATTTACCGCAACAGGACAGAATGATGAGATAGAAACCCATCTCCGAATATAGACCCCAGCCCCAGATCCCTCTTACATCACGAAGGACGTCAACGAAACCATAATAAATATGACCCTGTGTAGTCACTTTTCACAAGGGTCGAGAGGAAAAGAAAAGTTCACAAAATGGATTCTTGGCGCACAACAACAGGAGATTTGATTGGCTGCGTTCGCTGACGTCATAATGGCTCGTCTCGGTCTCTATGGCGACAGTGATGATGCTCTATGTCGAAAGCGCTTTGGGCGTCCAGTGTGGCATATCGGCACTGTGAACACAGATAGGAACATACGTGAGCTTAGAACTTATCAAAATATGTCGAATCGTGGTGAAAGCAGTCTCTCAACAAAAATATTATGGTGAAATAGAAAAAAAATTGACATTTTTCCTTATGTATGTATTGTTTATCGATTTTAAAGAAAAACATCGATCAAAGGCAACAACAAATTGTAAATGTACAATTTCCAAAGACACGCAAGCTTTGAAATCACAAAAAAGTGTGGCGGCTACTTTCTCGTTTATTTTACCTGACACACCACACAAACCCCACCTACTTCATTGCAAAGATTATAGAATAATGTGAGGCAGCGTGGTGAAATCAGACGCTCGTCAAAATAATGAATAAAACAATGTGCATTTTCCCGCAGGTTTGGGAATTTTTATTGATTTTTTTTTTATACACCTTTAATGCCCATTAAAGAGCACATTTTATGTGTGAATTTTTACTGAAAAACTCTCAAGCTAAATAAATGGCTCAAATTTGGAGGCCATTTTCTTGCTAATTTTATCTCAAAAATCAGATAACCCTCACCTCCTTCAATCACACATATCTCGACTCCTATTCAAAATAGATTGATATTATTTTCACGGAAAGTAAGGAAAATAGATGACACCATCAACTTCGTATTCCCAAAAATTGACTAGAGCCTGATTCCACCGCTTCATGCCACATATTATTATTATCTCTATTCAAAGTACTTGGTATTTTAAAAATCCAAAAGCAAGAATGATTGCGTAAATTTTACCTCTCTATGCCCCCAAAAATTGACAAACACCTGATTCCACCGTGTCGTACCATAAAACATAAACTGTGTTAGTTAACCCCCATTTCTATAAGAAAACCTGTTTGTAAACAACACTATGACCTCACCTCCACTGCTGATAGATACAGAACATATGTTTGTTCATTGTTGTCTGTGAGAACGTTGTTGATGGTACTTTCTATCTATCATTGAGGGCATCCAAGTGTCGAAACACAAGATATTCCCGTGCCTTATCGCGGATTCACATTTCACGATTCACATTTTGTGGATTTGCGCAACATTATCGCTTTCTTGTATGTTTGTGGTTGTTTTGTGAGATTGTTTGATTGTTTTCATCAGAATGTAGGAAATAATATGTCATCTATTTATATACTTAATTTGTATCTGTATGTGTGCTTTTGTGCGTGTTTGTGTGAGTGTATGTGTGTATGTATATGCGTGTGTGTGTATGTGTGGGTATGTGTGGGTATGTGTGTGTATGTGTGTGTGTGTGTATGTGTGTGTGTGTGTGTGTGTGTGTGTG